GGGTTACACATGCATTAGGTCCAACTCAGTACAGATCCTATGCTCACATTGTTCCTTCAGGTCCTTGCTTCTCCATGGACATGGTCAAGGCCGTGAGGTTTTCAGATCCACATGCTTGATGTTTACTGTGAGAACACAGCACAGGAAAGCGACTGGAGGAAGTGGATCCATGTTGGACGGCAAACTAAAGAACAACTACTGAAGTCCTAAACGTCCTGTTGTCCAGGAACAAAGATCTCTTTCCACAGTAGTCTTGAGCAAAAAGGGGCATCAAAAAGCAACAACAGACCCAAGATGTCTATTGGTCACAGCTGCCAATTTCCCAGAGACTGTTACCCTGCCACCCCTCCAAACCCACAATAACAAGTCTAGTGTCTGTTTATATTCACCTTCTCACTGGCATCTGATACAAAAGGGCTGTCGATACTGAGACACGAAAGCATTTGTTCTTGCTCCTCCAGCGAGTAAGGCTGTGACAGGCTGTTCAAGAATAGTTCTACAAGCAAAAAGGAGAGAGAAGACAGACATCTGCAGCAATTCCTTTCATGCCTTCCTGCTCTAGTGTCAGTTACTGCAATTAATACCCAAAGCTTTCTCAGCATTATCCACTCAACACTGACATTAGTGTCTGTAAAACACCTGACACAATTCCTCTGTTAAGTAGAGGCTATTGCTGCCATTGTGAAAATAGGGAAACTGAGCCAAAACCAACAAATGATTTGTGCAATAACACGTAACAACTCAGAGACGGGACAAGCACCCGGAAGTTCCCAGTTCTTGCCTATCACGCCATCTATCAGTATTCACTCTAGAACCATCTGCAAAAAGATAAAACTTAACTATTTAACTGCTGCAGTAACTTGCACTGAGAATATGCAGACCTGACAAGGCTGCTGAAAGTCCAAAGCTATTTCAGGGGAAAGTTGGACCCCAGCAACCCCTAAAATGCTATTCCTCAATTCTGTGGCAATGGTTACGCTTCAAGACAACTTTTGCCTAGGGTGAAGCTTTTCAATTCATTTATGAAGACAAGAAAATATGGGATAAAGAAATGGCAGTTTGAGATGTTCCGGGGTAGTGGAACTGGACTGGAACTTTATTAATTTTCACATTGAACTTTTGCAGCTGCTGGTAATCCAATTCCTTGGTTGGTGGACATAGGTTTTCCAATGCCCACAACAAAATAATTGCAGACTGCTCTTAACTTCACTGCTTTGTTTGATGTCTCCATCTGATAGGCTTATCTCTGTATTAAAAGAATTGGATTTTCAGTATTCCAAACTTCATATGAAGCTGGAATTGCAGACGATCTTTATAGGGTGCACATAAGCACGTATCTGAGTTGTTAGGCTCGGAGGCTGGCTGGTCCTCGAGAGGTTCCATGCCTCTTACATAGGATCACCCCACTGCTTGGAGACTAGAAGAAAATCCTGACCTCTACCTTTGTGGCATATTTAATTGCTTAAGAACTACGAGTTTTGATAGTTTCAAGGAAGGATGAGCAATTTGTGTAACAGGAGAGGAACTATGAGCAAAATGAGATCCAAGCACAAAACCCAGAAATAACTGTCAAGACGCCAAAAGAAAGCAGCTGTATTTTTATCACATTCGCAAGTAAAAAGCTAAATTCCCTGCATAGCACGTTGCTCACCTATTTCCAGCTGCTGAAGCTCTTGTTCTGAAATGGTTGTTGCTCTCTCCACATGGCTACAGCTCTTCAGGGGCAGAGGAGCCAAAGAAGAGAGAGGTGGAGGATCCCAGATCCCAGATAACTCCTTGCACAGGTTCCAAGGGGGTCCCTCAACCTCCTCAGTTCGCTCCAGAGACGGTGGTGGTAGGAATGGGCTTGCACAAGAAACTTTGACTGCCAGTTTTCCGTCAGAACCAGTCTCAGAAACTGGGCTCACTGTAGGGGGCAGGGAGGTCTGTTGACTGTTTTCTTTGTTCAAAGCTAGATGTCTAGGCTCTCTGTATTCCCCTTTCCATGGGCTTGTCACACCTCCCACTAGAACAGAAAGCAGATAAGCATTATTGCATTTAAAAAAAAAAAAAAAAGTCATGTTTGACAAGAAACGTGAGTTTCTGAACTGTATCTTGCTGTGAAATGCCAAGGTCTTCAAAAGAAAAAGATACATCATGTCTGCAAGCTCTTTCTACACCATAGAGGCTTTCAGCAGAATTAAGCTGAAACAAATTTTAGAGTGTCAGAGGGAAGACTCGACCACCAATATGAGTTACAGTCAAGAATGAAATAAACCTCTTTCTCAGTTTTGCTGAATACCAGACTTCAGCTCACTAGATGCAGTAGATACTTCACAGCTTAGACACATCGATAGTCTCCATAGGACTATTCAGACATAGGTGGTAACTGGCTGCTTTACCAGTGTAGGTAAGCAGCTTTAAACGTAGGACATTTTTACCTTCTTCAAGGGCAACAGTGGTCTTAGTTTTCAGTTCAGATGCAGATGCTCTCTGAACAGGCTCTTTCTCCAAACCCATTTTAATAATCTCAGCAGTGAGAGGGTTGCAGGAAGGTGGAATTTCCCTCAGAGGAGGTGGCTCTTTAGCTATCTGTGTAACAAACAGGAAGTGAAAGAGGTTAAACTAGAGAGGCTTCATTTGTTTTCAGAAAGGTTCTTCCCATCCTGAGAGTTTCCAACTGAGATTCTGGCATAAAATGAGACATCTGTTAGGTACAGAATCAAAGACCTGAGCCATAATTCTATTACAGCTAAATAGCTAAAAGGTCACACTTAAGTTGTAAGAAGGATGAGAAAAAGAAAGGAAGAAAGCAAGCCCTAATATGCATAACACACAGCAGTCTAAGGGGAATCAGAAATGATTAGCTTCCAAAGCAAGGTTTGCATCATCTTAGATGCCCAACGGGCTCTCAGAGAGCCTTCCTGAAGTGACTGCTGTCTGGCTAGGTATAATGAGATTTTACCAGCTTAAGTGCCTTTTACCAGAGATATTTTGGGTCACTTACCTTTAGACAGAGAGGATGATTGTAATACTGGGTCCAAGGGTGGCACCCGTTGAGCATGTGCAGCATCATACAGCAGCTGCTCCAGACATCCACTTTAGAGTCACAGCGCTTTCCCATGACCACCTCTGGAGCCATGTGAGTTTCTGTGCCTGGTACATAGTTCCCTAAGACCGCAATGACAAATTCAAATGAAAACTATTGCATGTAAAATAGAGAATTTTTCCAGTGCAACTGCTAGGAAGCCTAAGCGTCTTTTCAGGAAAAATGACACACAAGTCAACTTAACCCAAAAGCAGTATCACATGCTCCTGTCAGCTGTTCAAAGACTGCATTCAGTCTCACGCCTTATATTTGGACTAGGTATTAAACTCCTCTTCCCAATAAACTTGAAAGGCAAAATATGACCTTCCATTGGTGAGTTCAGCATTAAAAGAGGTGGATATGTTTTCTAACAGTTGCATTAAGAAGCATGGTAAAAGTCTCACTACACAGAAGTCAGCAAGGAATTTTGCTGGAGTGGAGGCCAGGATTCTTCCCCAGCTATTTACTGAAGTTACCTGACCAGCCGTACAGTTAGATTTCTAAAAAGTTCGGATGTGGTTTCTGGCAAGGTGACTTCTGGACTGCGAGATAAGGACCAACTTCCAACCTTAACTTAGTTTTAGCTGGCAGTGGGATACATCATAGTAGTATCAATAAATGCAAGAAATGCAACACTACGAGTAACATAAGTGTGGAAACACAATTGCTTGCAAATTAGCCATGCATAAATGTTAAAAAGAAAAAAAAAAAAAAAAGAGGAAAGAGTCAGTATGGTAATTCTTTAGAATAACAGCAGATAAACCTTACCTGTGATCAAGCACTTTCCCAAGCTATCTGGATGAAGGTGAGCAGAGTGACCAAAGTCACAGAGAAGAGCCCTGCTTCCATCATCAGATAAGAGCACATTGTCCGCTGTCAAAGGGAGGTTTTAAATTAGTCAGTGTCCTTCATATTGTAGTCACTCATAGGGGGAAAAAAAAAGTCCAAAGCCCACAGAGCTACAGTCTTTGCTGAGCCCAAACTAAGGTCTATTAATCTTATTGAGCATCACTGGCTTCAGCAACTACACAATTGTAACTATCTCTACTTGTGAGCCACCAGTTATCTGTCCTGGAGATTCTTCTATCCCAGGGGCAGGGTATACTGGGCAAACAGCCTGTCAGATCCACTGGATGACAGAGAGAAAGAAGGGACAAATATTATATGCCCAGATGTTTAAAATGAAGTTAGGCTCCAATCTGAAATGCAGAGCAGAAAATCTAGTAAATAACCTTTTTGTCACTCCATAACTCAATCTCTGAGAAGTTTGCTCTTTTTTAAGAGAAGAAAGAACAATATATGTTAAGTAGCAGCCTACCTTTTACATCTCCATGAAGAATGTTTTGAGCATGAAGATGCTCCAAGCCCTCTAATGCCTGACCCAGATAACTAAGAGCTCTATCCTCTGGCAGGCAGCCGCTCTGTTTAATCAGCTGACCCAGCGAGCCACCTAGAAGAAAATCCACAGAGTTCATGTTAGAAGAGAATCCAGAGAGTTCATGTTAGCCTATCTGTTAAATACTTCTCAGCATCACCAACAGTCCTCATTTTTTCCAGAGCAGCAACGAGACCTGCCAGGTGTGGCAGTCCTCATCTTCCACACGTGGGTCTGTTCCTTCTGTTTATTCTTACTGCCCATGGAAACCAATCCTTTTTCATGCAGCCTTTTTGCTTAGCATCAATTTAACAATCTTGCTTTGTACCAAAAGCAACTACTTTGTCATCAGATCAACCACTTCTAGGCTCTACTGGTCATCAGCTAATTCTTCAAAGGCTGTGTTTTCCATGGTCCTGGCTGGGAAAAGAAGCCTCAGGCAATGGATACTTCTAGGTTTGCTTATACAGCATTCCCTGTTACAGTACAATGTGCTTTATAAGTACCATATAAACATGCCACTACACCATGATAGCAAAAAATCAGTATCAGCTATGTGCTTTAGTGAGAATTTGCAGCTGGTGCCCAAGAGATATGCATCTTGAACTGGGGTGAGGGGAAAGGGGAGAAATTACTCCCCTCATAAAAAGATAATTTCTACCAGGGGCTATAATACATACCTAACTCCAACCCACTCAGGAACTAATGCTAGGAACAGCCTGGATACACCAAAGACTTAAAAGATTTAAAACTGGGGCAAGAGGAAGAGGAGATCAATGTCCACTGCATTTGACAATTACAATGGTGCTTCCATTGTGATTACTCCTTTCTCACCCTCCATCAGTTTCATGAAGATAGTCACCCAAGGCCCTTCCTTCACAGCTCCATACAAAGGGACAACTTTAGGACTTGTTATTGCAGCACATGTTGTTAACTCCTCTGCACGGAAGTGTTCAACTTGTACCTAGAGAAACAAAGAAGCAGCACTGAACAAATACTGACAAATTCTGACAGACTCATCCCTCCCCAGTGCCTGAGTCAGTGTCCTGCGCAGTCTAGCATCAGAGGCCCAAGAATAACCTTCATTACCACAGATAAATGGGTATAACAGTAAGTGGGAACACTCAGATTGAGCAAGGAAGAAGGGAGACACTAATCCTCAGTCCGAGTTAAGTGCAAATTGGTCAAAAAAGATGCTAGGTTCACATACATCTGGCTTATGGCTGAATATAGGTAATTTTCAGGGAGGTTTTTTGTTTTTATTTTATTTTTTTAAAGGTAATTTCTGTCTCAATTAAGAGGACATAACTGACAACTTAGGCATTCTGCTTTTATGAGATCTGGAAGGGAAAAGTCCAGGGATAGAGTAGTACTTGGAGAACAAACAACTCCTCTGAAACAGGAGGGAATATGAAATATGACCACAGGCAGTGATCTACACTATCACCTTTTTAGGTGGTTGTCAAGCTGTGCAGAAAAATAGTTTAAGAAAGACTCTAGTAACTAAGTTTGGCCAAACAAAATAAAATAAGAATTTGCTAAAGATCAGAAGGAAAACATGAGTCATTAAGATTCTGGTGGGAAAAGGATGTATCATATTTCTTCAGTGTCAGCAATCCAGCTAGAGCTAGTTTGCTTTAATCTCAAGAATTTGGAGGGCAGGTGCTTACAGCACCAAGCACAGTGAAAGAAGGTCAGGTAGTCCCCTTCTAATAAGGGCAGACAGCAGTAATTCCAGATAGTTACTGATGTAAAATGAAACATATCGTAGTTCAAGCGTTCAACTTGCGTGTTAGGATTCACTGGTTAGGAGTATGATCTGAGAAAATGTAGTGCTTATCTACAGCAGTATCCTTTGAAATCCTCTAGGAATTAGGAAAAAAGTTAACGGCGGCTTTGAAAGACTAACACTTCTCCTAACCTTGTGTCTACTTTCTCTCAGCACAACCCCACCTCTCCTTCCTGAAAATTTACCCCACTATTAACAGCTATTTCCCCCGAGACTGTGTATTGGTACAGTGGATAATAAACTGGAGTAGTTTCGTACTGTGAGAAAATAAGCTTGCCATGTTACCACGAAGCTCTACATCTGAAATGTGAGGATGCAGAATAAGAAATAACTTTCTACAAGTTTAAAATATTTTCTCTTCTATACAGCTCACAAATGAAATGGTTAAAAAAAAAAAAAACAAAAAAACCCAAGATGGCTTAGTCTTGCTACTTACATCTTTCCATTAGGCAATGCATCAAGTTGAGAGTGATGTAAACAAGAAAAAGTGAATGTTTTTATTTGAAAAAATACAACTTGCCAATTCTTTTTGCATATAACATTTCTGCACTCAAGACAAACACTTCCCACACACTCTTCTAAGTTTTCTATTAAAGAAATGTGAGAAACTTAGCAGTTTTACAGAGGTGATGAAACTATTCAAGTGTTAAGGTCAAACAGAATAGTTTACATTCTCATCATTTACTTGTATTATCACTCTAAGGCCTCCCATGGCTGCCTACAAATAAATATCTTCATTCAAGTTATAGTCTACATGCATCATATGACGACGTATCCTGGTGAACAATGGATTGTTATGCCAGCTTCTGGAGAAATACATACCCTTGCTGAATCTGTAACAGAATCACTTCATTATAATGTGCCAGTATTGTCTGCGACGCTCGCTGAGCAGAAGAAAACTCTGCTTTTTGAGTTTTTACTCACCACCTTATCTTTTCCCTACTTTTTCAATAAACACTTGCAACGTCACCCTTTATACTGGACATGCTTTAAGATGGGAAGAGTTAGATAAGCAGACAACTCCAAGAACCTTTGCCCCACCCCTAGTCACTAAGAATGCACTTAAAATCTTTTTGCAACCCTTGTAGCCTGTCTCAGTGCAGAAAAACAAAATGCCTCGTAGCATGCTTTGAAGGTCGAACGAACCTATTTCTGACTGCTAAGATGGACCCACTGTGCGCACACACAGGTTCTCTATCTGCCTCTTCTCTTCATGCCATCACCTTAAAATTTGCCCCAGACATATCCACAGCAGTATCATATTCCGGAATGAGAAGACTCTCTCTCTCTTTATGCCTTGTATCAGACAACTCCCACAATTTCTCATACACAGATTACCTTTTTGGCAGCACACTGAAATCCTGTCTGCTTGTCCTCTATTTTGTATACTTCTCCAAAAGAGCCAACGCCCAAAGAACTGTGACACTTGGTCCAGTGAACCTCTTCTCGGTACTCATAATCCACTGGCTTTAGTTTCTGGAGGTTAAAATCAGAAAATGAGATGAAATAGGCATGGAAACACATACACGTCAAGCTCCAGACAAAGAGGCTAAAATTTTCAGAAAAAGCACAATGGTACCATAGCCCCTCCCAGGGCAAAATTGCTTCTGTCACTGGCTTGAGGTGAAAGACAATGAGAGGATCTGCTAAATTTCTGCAGGCACTGGTTGATCTGAATGACTGTATCCCTTTGTCCTAAAGGAGCGCAACCTGTGTTTGGATAGCTTTGGAGCTTCAAACTACTCCCTTCACATGGAGGATATTATTACAAAGTGAAATCCTACAAATAAAACAAGATCCATCCAACTAAACACAGATCTCTGCGCGTGAGCTAGACCCTTTTTATAGTCAGCAGAGAGAGAAGAACCGTGCCTTGGGTCTCAGTGTAGACATATTCAGGCAAATAAGTCACATCCTGAACTCCACCGACAATACTGGTAGGGTTGTCTCTGATTGCAATGAAGAGATGAGAGCAGTTTAAGGAGGCTGGCAAAGAGCTGAAGTTAGGAGATATGAATCACTGCTGGTAAGATTTACATGCACCTGCTGTGCCAAACTCCTGCCTTTGTCAAGGGATAACGAGTAAGTTGTTGGTTTACTGGCAGAGGTAGCAGATACGCTCTTTGCACCTTAACGATCTACGTGGCACAGGCACCTTTTTCTGTTTGTGTCACAATCCAGGTCATCTTATAGCCAATAAAATACTGCAGCCTGTTCACCTGAATGCACTGGACTCTTTCACAAACAGAGAGGTCGTTTTGGAAGACTGACTGGAAACAGAAACACTTCTCATCAATTTTTAAATAAGCCATGCATATTTTGTGAATGAGTAAACCAATTGGAGCCACCAATCTCTAAGACAGGGTTTCATACCCTTCTAAAAACAAAGTCACATCTCTAACTGTTGGGCTCTAGCCGTATCATTAAGAACCACTCAGAAAAGGCAGCCCTGCTACAGAAGCCAGTACGTGGATGCAGATTCTCTCTCCTGAAGAGAGAGAACCCAAGAGAAACTCTGCCTACCACAACACCAGGATATACGGTCAGAAGATCACCTCATTAAGTAGCACGCCTTCATTTTCATCTGCTTCTTGGAATTGTTCCTTCAGGTCCAGACCGCCTCCTCTCCACGTCTTGGCTAGGCTGGCTAAATTTTGTGGTTCACCGAGACTCACGCTCCCCTTCAAGGCATCTACCAAATATTCTTCCACAGAAATCTTGTCCGAACTGGTTTTCACGGACTGGTTGACGCACCTGGGGAAACTGCATTCTAAGTTTAGGCTAGATAAGCGATGCTCACTGTTTTGATAGTTGAAATCACCATGGAAGTACGTTCCCAGAGCATTAAGTTTCATGGCATGGAGAGGACTGTCCAGAGGTGGGAAATGAGGAGGTATTATGTTGTACGGAAAAGGATGAAGTGTTTCAGGCTGCGGAACACTGTCCCCCTGATAGTGACGTTTCCAAACATGATTAAGGCACTGAACAGGGCTAATAAGCTTGTGCAGCTCCGTTTTGTACTGGCTCCTTGGTGGATGGAGTTTGCCTGCGGACAGAACTTTCCCGGGTTTCTCAAACAGCAGCGGATCATACACCAAATCCTTGCCAAGTTCTGAAACCCAAAAATTGTTTCTGTAGAGAGTACTTTGGTGTGTTTCATCTTCCTAGAAAATAAAACAAAACAGCTGAGCAGGAACCTCAATACAGCCACCCAAAATTCAATTAAGAATTGTAGGAGTTCGCAGGGGACCCAACAATACAGAAGGATGATCTAAGGAGCCTCACCTGGACTGGAATTGGGGTACAGCTTTCTTGTTCTGGAGTTCTGGGACCTCGCCGGCCAGCAACCACTGTTTGTATTTTCAGCTTGGATCTTTTCTTATGACGTTTCTTTCTGTTTTTACCACGATGCCTCCCTCTCCAACAGGTAGGTGCCATCTTCCCCTCCGTTGCATGGGCCACATTGTTAGGGATTTGATCAAGACTGTCTGATCGGCTATTGAAAAATCAGAAGGGCATAAAATCTCTGAAATCTGATGAGGAAAGCACACCTTCAGTTAACAATTATGACCAACAGAACAGGAATAAGAATTAGCAATACTGCCTTCTGAGATTTTAAGAATAGAGAACTGTAAGATAACTTCTTGCCTTCTAATAGGCAGCAATTAGAACTTGGACATCAGAGCACAGTAGTACATCTAGCATTGTAAGAGAGAAATACAGGGGAGGAAAAAACAAACACACAAACAAACCCCAAAGTGTTAACATGCCCAGTATTTGCAAATTCTTCAAGGAACAGCAAGACAAGGGGGCAGAATAGACAGTGAAAATCACTGAATGCTTTCAGGTTGCTTTGAGATAGTATGTGTCTGATTTTTAGTGAATACTGAGACTAAGTATAAATGCAATCTATTAAAAAATTTTGTCAAAAATAATAAAAGCACTCTTAATATAAACATATTCTCTATTTGAAAGGATAGGCTTTGCATCAAAGAAAAAGGGTGACTAAGGGCACTGAAATGAAACAGCTTCAAACAGCCAAAAACTTCTGGCATGTAGAGCTCAATTATTATAATGTTACAATACTTTTTCTAGGAAGGCATATACATACAAAACAGCACTGGCCAGAACAATATGTGGGGGCCTATGCAAATATCTCTGAAGAAGAATATTTGCTTGCAGTTACTTAATACCAATCATAACAGTTGTCAAGTTGTAAGAGGAAACAGGAAATTTGATCTTCAAATGAAGAAATCATAATTGTTTCGTTGAGCCATGCAACATAGTCATCTGCCTTTATTGAACAGTGATACAGTTCATAGCCAGCTCAGCTTCCTCCATCATTTTCTGCTGTCTCGGTGCACCATTAAACACGCTTATCAGACCCAATAAGCAGGGTTCTGGGTTCTCTGGGTATCACCATATTGCCTTGACCCTGAACACATATCTGATGTGCATTCCACATAAATCCCCTAAGAACTGGCCCACTCCATTTTTCTTCAGTTGGTTCACAGAACAGTGTTATAGAGTTAGTGGGCAAGGTCAAACACACACCCCACAAGGCCAGATTCAGCATCTGAAAGCTGACGCAGAACAGGCAGCACCTTATTCTGTAACCCAGTTACCTACTTCAGAGAACGCTGGAGGTTTATTGGGCACATCCTGAAGAGAAAGATGCCCATTGTTCAGATGGCTTCCGATAAGCAAGTCCCAGAGCTCCAATTTTTTAATGCAACTTCTGCTTCCCCTTTACCTCTTTCAGTTTCTCTTCACAACTCTTTCTATTTCTGTGTGTTTCTGATGCTGTTATTAAGCAAAGGTTCTTCTCTCCAACCCATCTTATTTATCCTCCAACTGCTGCTTAACAGTTCAGTTAAGGAACAAAAACTGCCTCTTGGATCTTCCTACTTCAGGCCCATGAACCTCACAGGAAAGGATCTCTTAGCCTCCATTTTCAAACAGATCCACCAACCCAAATATACAGGCAGGTTACAAGGGTCAATAAAATAGCAGGCATTGATAATGAGACAAATGCAAGGTGTCTTGAGTGGTGTGCACTTATATTTCCTCCTAATAAAATAAGGTTTTGAGGAAGATGCTTGGGGAAAGACACACTCTTAGGAAAAGCTAATCCAAAGGGAAGTTCTGGAAAAAAAAGTTGCATGCACACAGAGTCAGTGTGATTTGAAACAAGTCAGTGCAGAAAACAGTGAAGGTGGGTTTTCATGTTAAGAGACTTCTCACCTGTAACGCTTACTATGAGCGATGAAGGATCTCTCTGATAAAGTAGGGCTGAACTCTTGACTGTTTTCACCTGTGTGAAGAAAAAACAGGATCATCACACATCTTCAACATTATGCAAAGCCTCTGCTGGTAACAACTGGACTAAGAAACACCTCTACTATCTTGCTAAACCAAGCAATAATCCAGACACACAAATTACCACACAGTCACGCTACAACACCAACGGTACGTTCTTCCTCCTCCAGCATTAGATAGCTTCCCAGCATTGTGATCTCCTGATGCCTCAAGCTCTTTCCCACCCAATAGTTTTGGTTGTTTTTTTTTTTTTAAACACCTTTTGGAAGTCAACCACAAATAGATGATGCAGTGGGACACATTTCTAGTCAACAAAGCTACGTGCAATGGCCATATGGTGTTTTGTTATTTATGCTTTATTCAGTAGATGCTGCCACATTATTAAGAGATTTCATGAGCTGCCTAAATAGACACTGGGATGTGTCACCAATTCCACCCTACTTTGGATTACAAATAGAATTCAGCTCAGCTCAGCTCTCCAGGAGCGCAAAGCGAGTGAAATCTCACACCACATTACACATTCCTTTTTCTCAATGAACAGCAAACCACCCTGCTACTTACATTCTGCTTGGGCAATAATAGAAATTGATGCAGAGCCTCCTTCTGTTTCTTCTTTTGCTGTTCCTTTGGTGATTACATCATTCAAGATTTTCCATGGACTGTGAAAGGCAACCTTCTTTGAATCTTCTACTTTGCAAACACTACTCTGCTTTTCACTCACTGTCTCATTCAGCCCCTTTGTAGCCGTGAGCTCCTTCTTGTGCTTGATAGTTGGGTCAGGGGCTCCTTGGCATGTAATTCCCATCACTGCCATTTCACAGGTTCAGAGAGTCACTGAGTAAGAACTGAAAAAAAAAAAACAACACTTGTTACAATATTTAACTTCACAGTCAGAAATGACTTGAAGTTCATGAGAAACAGGAGGCAGCTGAAGGCATCAGATACAAAATAATTTAAACCAAATCAAGGTCCTACCCAAACTCTGAGCAAGAAGCTGAAAATGAACCCAGGACTACCAGCTCACCATCCTTGACTTGTACCACAGAAGAGATGAACAATCAGTGTTATTCTCAGTACTAAAAAGATAAGATTACTAAGGTTTTAAAGCAAAATATGTTTCTCTTATAATCTTTTAGCTTAAATACAAACAATGGAACAATACAGAAGAGGGAACTCTCATATCATTAAATAGCAGGAACATTCACAAAAAAGAGGAGACGTGAGAGATCAGATCTGATGTCTGCACAATCTCTCTGCACCTAGGAGAAATTACATTGTGCCCTTACAGTACAAAGCTTTTAAATAGTCACAAAATCCTGCTAACTGTCCTCGTACTCAGTCACCCTCAAATCCCATTTCTCATTTTTCCTTCCAATGAAACAAGGCTAGGCAAGCAGCCTGCCCATACACATCTCCTGCCTTGCTCCCTTCCCTTCCCCTTAATTACCAATAACTTTCGAAAACCTCACTCAACCATAAACAAGCCCAGTAAAAGTAGTGCTCCTACAGTGTATCAGGTTAATGCAAGCTGGTGTTGGACAGAGGACGGTGATGGTGCTGGACAAAAAGGCAGGCAGAACTCAGCTCCTTTCCTCTCTGCTTGGCAGCTGCTGCCAAGCAATCAGCCCAGGCTCTAGCTGACCAGTTAGCATAAACGTAGCTCTAAACAAGTCCCAGCACATGCCAAATCTTGGCCACTTGGCAACATGGAGGAACGTGGAAGGGAGCCAAGGGTGGAAAGGGAGAAGCATAAGGAAGTCTGGAAGCAAGGCACTAAGGGCAGGGTAAAGGTATATCATGAGGTATCAGGGATGCGTAGAGTTGAGAGTTTCCTACAAACACACTGAACACAAAACCACAGGAAATCAGGCTTTGGTTTAGGTTCTGTTCCCCCTGCCATGGATTCTGAAAAAGTTCAAACATGGTTGTTTTCTTTTAAACCAGAATATGTTTTATCACCCCTTAACTGTAGGGTCATTTCCTCATTCCACAGTCCTTTCACAGTTTAAGTGCAAAATCTTAAAACAAACATTTCCATCATTAAACAAGGCATGAAAACCCAGAAACCTTAACAAACATGTACAGGTGTTAAGCACCACAGACCCAATAGGAGGAGCGACGTTTGAATGGAAGCCACTAAAAACAAGTTAACATAACTATTATAGGAGCATGTCTTTGAGGCTCACCAGTTTAAATCCGCAGCAGGGATTTTCTTTTTTTTTTTTTTTTCTTTATTTGTTTTCCTGGGGCAGCAGGATATTTATTCTGAACAGGCTCCTGGCTACACAAAGTTCAATCAGGAAAGCTACAAAACAAGCATCAATGGGTGCTCAGTGCCTAAAGGGCCACCAAGGAAAGGGGAAGGAACCATTTGGGAGCCAAGTGCATGAACCTTGGTGTGATTTGCAAATGAGTCACCTAACAACCTGGTAGGTATACAAGAGAAGTCAACAATGAGCACATTCAGTGGCTAAACACAGAACAGCTGCTGTGAGAAAGAAGTGCCGATGACAGTATCCCACTCATTACAGCAGTCCCTCCCCCTCTTCTCTCCAGAAATTATGTCAAATCTCAGTGCTGTAAAATAATCCCTTGGAGCAGCAGAAAGATAGCCTGCCAGATGACTAACCCAAGCCACCAGTGACCAAACTGACAAGTTCAGAGCTATTTTTATACTCACTCTCTCTGATTTGCATTAACTCTTCTCCTCACCTTCAAGGTTTGCCAGGCAAAGCCATCCCCATCTCTGAAAATACGTAATTGTACAAATCACTCCTCAGTTTAGTTAAAAGGCAACAGAGGGAGGGGAGAAGCAAAATCACAAGTCCCTGTCTCCCTCTTAAATGGAAAAGAGTCACATGGAAACATTACTGAGATTAAAGTCAAAGTACGTACCTCATTTGCCAACTTAAAAAAAAAAAAAGAGAGAGAGAGCGCTACTGTAAGCAACATCCTCTAGCTTAGCACACAGCAGTCAGAGTGCAGACAGCTTAATGGGTGACTCGGGTCTAACAAGGCTGCGTAGGCACAGAGACTACAAGCCCAGCCCAGTTTAATTGTTGCCACGTCATTTTCATGTTCATGGAAGAATCAAAAACCCAACTCCCTAATGGCATGTACAAGGTGAATTTGGGAGAAGTCATGATTTTAAAAAGTCAGAACTTTAAAATAATTATTGAGCCATTAACTTCTCTTGAAGCCAATATTCAAAACTGAACAGACCAGATTCATCTCTATGCCCTTTGGGGAAGGGGGCGATCTGCAGAGGTGCAAAGCATTCGTAAGTCCCATTAATTTGCATGTAGGCACTCAGCCCAGGCCCTGCATGTAGCTCTTTTTGATAGAAAGCTTTAGATAAAAGGAAGCCTTGGGAGCACTACATGGATATCTGAGGTTCCACGGCAAAATCAGTAAGAATAGAATTTACCCACCACAAGGCACGCTGGAGCAATGTTTCTGGTTGCCTATTTACTTGTCACCAGGATGAGCATGTTTCCAAGGACAGACATAAGTTATACATGTAACATTAAGAGCCACAAGTTATTGAACTAGAGAGTTGTTTCTTGTCCAAAGCTACTCCTCTGGTTTTTAAAGCTCCCTTTCTCTTGACCAAGTCATTTAGTTTCAACTGTAATTCTTGATTTCAATATTCCTGATTTTCTTCCTTCCTTGAAAATAACAAACCCATGCGTACACCCACTGAAGGAAGGGAAAGTCACGTAATGATGCAGTAGATAAAGGTGAATACTACATCCCTAACCCACAAAGGGCTTTTGCAAGCTACACCAGTGTTAAAGACTCCTTGCATCTTATCTTCACTACGATCATACACTCACATCTAGTTAAATGTTAGTTCTTACTGCTGCAAAAAAGAAAGTACGTTTTTACAGAACGAAAGACATCCACAGTATCACTTGCGTTGTGGAGATACTGGTTCGTGGCAGTGACAGCTCCTTCCTCAAATAACGTCTGTGCTCCTGTGAAAACCTGACATACAGGACAAGGCCATCCTAGACTTGTAGGGAGTCAAAACCAAGGAGAAACTCAAACTTTCCTGATATAAGAGATACTTGTGTGCTTTCTGCTCCTTGAAAACTCCCTCCTTCCCCAAATATTCTTTAAACAAGTCATGATTCACCCTCTTCAGCAATTCCATCTCAATCTTGGCTGCTTCCACTAGAAGCTATTTGTAGTAGGGACCTTAAAAGAACCGCTTCTTTTGTTATATGAAGTTACTATGTATACAGAGAGACTCATAGCTGGACAAAGTAAGGCAAATACCTCTCCAGCCTCCTCTGAGATCCTGCTCAGTCTACGTGGGTCAAATCTCCCTTGCCAACTGCTTTTTGGAGAATTTTAGTCAACATCTTGTGGAGCAGCCTGTAGTTTTGGTTAAAAAAAAGAGACTTGGGTAAGGAGAGCTTTAAAATATATGTAAGACTTCATATATCGGCTTCAAAGCATGCAGATTTCTTCTCCTAGTTTGAGTGCTAATGTTCAGTAGCAGTTTCAGATTGACAGTTAGTTTGAAAAAAAAAAAAATCATGTTGTCTCAGTGAGGTTTCCCACTTCCTTATTGAGAAGGGTTTTATGAACAACACATTAACTTAGGTTAGCCTTCTCTTTTGCAGCCGCTATTGGTTTATGAGAACATACAAGTAGAATTTTAGCAATGTTGCTTTACTGATCACTGCAAAAAAGTAACACCATAAGATCAGGAATTTATTCATCACTATAACTGGGAATGTCAGTTGAAAAAAAAAAGAATATACCCTAAGCTTTTAGGGGCCTTCAATTTCTAACAACTGTAGCTCTGTCAGTAGGTATTTGAGAAAGTGCCAAATATGCAGCCAAAAGTATCTGTCTTGAGTACTGGCTACAAAACTACAGTAAAGACATGAAATCTCTCCAAAACCTTATCAACAACACACGCTTCACTTGAAAAAAAGATGACAGCTTGTTAAAAAACGAGTTACACTAAAGATCTGGTCTGGGCCTGAGGAACATAGTTGTTTGCAGAACTCTTTCAAGCTCTAGGCACTTCTTCCATTTGTTCCTAACTTCTCATCTTTGTCTTTGCTTTGATATGATAGATGATCTTCCCTGCCTGCCCACGTTTCAGATGGAACTGAAATTAAGAAGGTTCCGCTTTCAGCCGTGTCAGTTTAAGGCATATTATTGTAGCATGGATCTGGGTTGTTATTTAAACAAGCTCAGTACAGTCAGCAAGAGAGAAGTTTCAATTTGCCTCAGAAGGGATTAAAAAAAAAAGTTATAGTACACAACATATAGCCCTACCTTAAAACACTTTTAATGCCATTTTTAATGTTAGGAGAAAGCCAGATATCTAAGAGTTCCACAATAAAAACAAATAGAACGCCTGATTGATTATAATACTGGTGAGTCAGATCACCAGCTATCATTCAAGAATATGCATAACCTTCACCTCCTCTTGGTTTAACAGTGTTATCTATGTGTCTCTACGAGGGGCACCTATACAGTTTTGTCTGGTTCCTCTAGGTCTCTCGTGTACTGTCAAATACTGTCACATAAAGGTTTACCTGAAGATGATCAGTTGCTTCTACCTAAACCACCCCAGAACTCTGGGATCAGTCTGAAGGATTTCACTATCAGTATTATGTTCATGAGTAAGCTTTGTTATAAACGATAATAAATATGTAAATATATTCTTTAAAGTGGTTTGACAGGAAATATTTCAAAACCCAGTTTCAGCCATTTATGTTGCATACTATAAACATCAGGATAATAAGCTTCAACTATCTTTTTAGTTGCCAGACATTAATATATTGCAGTAGTTTGATTACAAACTCCGTAGGAAAGTATTTGATTGAGTTTAATCAATAGTAGAATTTTCAAAAGTGTCTAAACACATCTATCTTAATTTCCTCAAGATTAACTTGGGTACAACTCACCCCTTAACAACTCTTTTCATGTTGTTGAATGAGGATATGAATAACACCATTTACCCAAAGTTTATAAACATCACTGCATCCCAATTCATTCAAACCAGTTAATTTTTCCAAACTGCTCTGCGAACAAGTATTACAGAAAGTATTAGTATGAACAAACTTAAGTCTGACAAAGTTTTGTTTTCAAATCTGACTTAGCTGTTTACATATAAGCTTTCAGAACACAGCTTAAAAACATCCTGATTTTTAAGACCCATTTGTGGAGTGAAGCTATTTCCTCAATTAGAGCAAGATGGTATATAAGCACTTAAATGGACAACTTCTGACATTAACCACAAACATGCATTAAAATTAATTCTGCCCAGGTAAACAGGACCAAGCTTTCACCAGTTATTACTGAACATTGCTGTGTGGCTTGAGATTTTCAACTCACATTTACAAAAAAGCCATGTAAGGCTACAAGAAAGCAGTGATGTTGAAACGCTAGGCAAAAAGGGAATTTCTGTTACTTTTAGTATGAATAGGAGCTTTTCTACATAAGCTTAATTCATCCTCTATCTTGTGAGCTCAATTATTACAATTTTATACTAGAAACGTGAAGAAAACTGACAAGTTTCTTTGTCCATTCTGAGCAATACTCCATGAGAGAAACTCCCATTTTAATTGCAGCATCTAAGACCCGTCTTTTAGACGAGCTGCGTTCTGTATTTTTCAGGGCCTAGCAAGTTAATGCTACTAAAATGTGGTTAGCAAAGCTCAATTTCCTATAGATTTAAGTCTCCCATGCCTAGGCCTCTTACCCCTCCTTTTGGTCCCCCAGTGCATCCTCTTGATCTCTCTTCCACAGCATCTCCAGACCCTTCCCTAATCCAGGTCTCTTCCACTCAGAGCCAGCTGCTCTTCTTGGAAGTTGGAAAATTTTCTGTTGTCCAGACCTTTCTCCTTTTGTCTCCGCCAGCAAATCTGACTGACATTTGCCAATGAGCTCAAAAGTTGCAGGAGAAAGGCTAAAGAGACAACAGTCACGTTTGCCTCCTCTCCTTCAGAGCAATAATTAGTGACCATATCACTCTTACAAAAGCTCTGCTCTAACTTCTCATATTTAACACTGCTACTCTTTATCCCAATTCTTCTTTCAAAGCTCGTTAACGCCAGTGATGTTGGATCAGGTCCCACAAACCCTTTTTTATTTTTGTTTGTTACATGCTCACTTGTTATAGTCCTTCTTCACAGCATACTATTCAAAGACTCAGTCTCTCATAACAGTTAAAATTTAATAGTTAATAGCAAATGACTCATTCCAATGGAATCTAGTGGCTGTGCCAATAATAGATTTTAACTTAGTTAAAACGCAATAAAGCACCCCCGACAGACACATATTTGAAAGCCTGATTCAATTACTCTCATCACTATTGTTATAGCTAAGAAGGTGCGACTTATTACTCATAAAAGAGTTCAGAAAGACAGGTTAAAAAGAAGTTTAAAAGTTGTTTATGGATGCTAGTTTCAGATTGCCGCTTCTTACATGTGCAAAGCCCTGAACACATGTTTCTAATGTAACTGATTAAGTAGACAGGAAGCATTTGAGATCAACCACAGCAGTGACTTATTAATCAGCAGAGAAGTATTTTAACCTTTTGCCAGAAAAAAAAGTTGTGTCAAAGAGAAGTCCTATGGCTAGATATGAGAGGTGAGTAAACAGACAGTTTAACTGAACTTCAGATCTTATTCAGTTGTATATTTTGATTAACTGATCTCAAGCCTGCCTCACCCTCCCCTCTCCATGGTCAGGAATAGCTTGGTAAAACTGCACCTAGCAACATCCAATCAAAACAGCAAAGGTGGCAACTTAATTTCTTATCTAGTCGAGCGCTCCAAGACAGACACAGCAGGCAGGAAATCAGTTAACTCCAGAGCCAAAAAGGAAAGTTTGCTTTCGAGCAGAAAAATAACATCGCAGCTCAGAAAAAGAAGAGAAAGCAAGCGAGCGGCCCGGTGTTCTCTGGAGACGCCAGCAGCGCAGGCGGAGAAGAAAGCAGCCGCTCAGCGAATCCAAGCTACCTTGGGGTGGGGCAGCCAGGAATTTCGGGGACGGCTCCGCAGGGCTCCGGCGGCCTCAACGGCCGCTCCAGGAAGCGGGCGCCGC